AGCCTGTACTTTACTGTGTATTAGTGCTGACCTACACCACCAACCTGTACTTTACTGTGTATTAGTGCTGACCTACACCACCAGTCTGTACTGTACTGTGTACTAGTGCTGACCTACACAACCAACCTGTACTGTACTGTGTGTTAGTGCTGACCTATACTATACAATCAGCCTTTACTGTGTGTTGGTACTGACCTACACCACCAGCCTGTACTGTACTGTGTATTAGTGCTGACCTACACCACCAACCTGTACTTTACTGTGTATTAGTGCTGACCTACACCACCAGCCTGTACTGTACTGTGTACTAGTGCTGACCTACACAACCAACCTGTACTGTACTGTGTGTTAGTGCTGACCTATACTATACAATCAGCCTTTACTGTGTGTTGGTACTGACCTACACCACCAGCCTGTACTGTACTGTGTATTAGTGCTGACCTACACCACCAACCTGTACTTTACTGTGTATTAGTGCTGACCTACACCACCAGCCTGTACTGTACTGTGTACTAGTGCTGACCTACACAACCAACCTGTACTGTACTGTGTGTTAGTGCTGACCTATACTATACAATCAGCCTTTACTGTGTGTTGGTACTGACCTACACCACCCTGTACTGTACTGTGTGTTAGTGCTGACTGTACTATACTATACACCACCAATCTGTGTTAGACCTACACAACCAACCTGTTGTACTGTGTGTTGGACCTATACTATACAATCAGCCTTACTGTGTGTTGGTACTGACCTACACCACCAGCCTGTACTGTACTGTGTATTAGTGCTGACCTACACCACCAACCTGTACTTTACTGTGTATTAGTGCTGACCTACACCACCAGCCTGTACTGTACTGTGTACTAGTGCTGACCTACACAACCAACCTGTACTGTACTGTGTGTTAGTGCTGACCTATACTATACAATCAGCCTTTACTGTGTGTTGGTACTGACCTACACCACCAGCCTGTACTGTACTGTGTATTAGTGCTGACCTACACCACCAACCTGTACTTTACTGTGTATTAGTGCTGACCTACACCACCAGCCTGTACTCTACTGTGTACTAGTGCTGACCTACACAACCAACCTGTACTGTACTGTGTGTTAGTGCTGACCTATACTATACAATCAGCCTTTACTGTGTGTTGGTACTGACCTACACCACCAGCTTGTACTGTACTGTGTGTTAGTGCTGACCTACACGAACAGCCTGTACTGGTGTTAGTACTGGCCTACACCACCAACCTGGGCTTTGTGTTGGTTCTGGCCTACACCACCAGCCTGTACTCTGTGTTAGGGCTGACCTACACCACCAGCCATTATTCACGATAACCCTTACCATTACGTCACCTGACTCTTCCTGCACTTGGTACTGGGAGTGTGCAGGGATTCATTTTATTTAATGGAAGATGTTCTTTATTCAATGGAGGGATTTACTTTATGTAATGGAGGGATTTACTTAATCTAATATAGGGATTTACTTTATGTAATGGAGGGTATTTACTTTATCTTGATTTATGAACAAAAATATATTATTATAGTCAGGCTAATAATTTCTCCGGTTATTTTGCTCTAATTTTCACCTCTAGTTATTGTTGTTGTTACGTAAATACACACACACACACACACACACACACACACACACACACACACACACGCACACACACACATATCCTCTCACCCTCCCCCAGCCAAGTAGGGTCAGGCAGAGGAGAGAGAGTCAGTCTCCCACGCTGGTTAACCGGACATCTTGGGGGGAAAGTCCACGGCCTCCTGGCTGACATTCCTGCGTCCAGGTGTGTCCGTTCTAGGACACCTGGTGGACAGTTGTGCTAGGACGTTCGTTAGTACGAAGAAATCTCCTTGATAAAATACTTAGGACATCACGACCATTAGGACACCACGACCATTAATACACCACGACCATTAAAACACCACGACCATTAGTACACCACGACCATTAATACACCACGGCCATTAGGACACCACGACCATTAATACACCACGACCATTAGGACACCACGACCATTAAAACACCACGACCATTATACACCACGACCATTAATACACCACATTAGGACACCACGACCATTAATACACCACGACCATTAAAACACCACGACCATTAGTACACCACGACCATTAATACACCACGACCATTAGGACACCACGACCATTAATACACCACGACCATTAGGACACCACGACCATTAATACACCACGACCATTAGGACACCACGACCATTAAGACACCACGACCATTCACACATCATAACCAAAAATATATCATGACCATTAAGACACCATGACCATTAGGATACTACGACCACTTGGACGCCATGACCTTTAGGATACTACGACCACTTGGACGCCATGACCTTTAGGACACCACGACCATTAGGACACCACACCATTAAGACATCGCGGCCATAAGGACACCACGACCATAAGGACACCACGACCATTAAGACACCACGACCACTAGGACGCCACGACCATTAGGACACCGCAATCATAAAGACACCACACCCATTGGAACACTACGACCTTTAGGTCCACGACCATTAGTCTTCCCATGAATAAGGGAAGACTGAAGTTTTGATGGAAGGGTAGAGAATTAATTAATAAGAGAGAGAGAGAGAGAGAGAGAGAGAGAGAGAGAGAGAGAGAGAGAGAGAGAGAGAGAGAGTTAAGAGTGAATTAATGTGAGTGAGTGAGTCGATTCCTAACATGTTATTTCAATTTCTTCCTGTTATTTTCTACACTTATATTGTAGTTTTCCCCTTAGGCGCCTATTCATTTTTTGATAGGCCTCTTGTCCTTGATCAAACCAACACATGACAAATTAAAAAAAATGACTTAGAGGGTCTTTACAACTAATAACCAAAATAACTCAGAAATGACAACGAAACTTCAATCGTAGTTATTTTAGTTATTTTACATCATATATTTGATAAAGTAACGTATGAATCTTTAAGGATACGAGACGAAACAATAATCTTCACAACAAAAACATAAACTGGAAAATATTGGTCTTTTTTTTGTATACTAAGAATCACAATCTCTAAGTACTTACAAGATGTTTAGGTTATTTCAGAAAGCAGAACCCAACAATATTCAAAACCTTTTCTATATCTTAGAAGCCAAGACCGGTCATAAAATCAAAGATGAAAAGTCGACCATTATACACCTAAGATTTATAAAGCTTAAGTAAGACAATTTTACCCCAAGCGATCTCTGTAGTTAAATATTTCGCGTATAATATCTTTCAGCACAACAAGGTCACGTCATCTCCAACACAAAAGCTTTCAAATGTTAAGAATTTATACAGTATAGCCTTACCAATATAGATTTTCACAATTAGTATTCCAGGTAAGACGTCGACTACATCATGTCAAGTCTTATTCAACAACTTCTAATTACAATATGTTAAGTGGAAATGCAACACCTTCAAATACATTATCTTAAGTCCTAACACAACATAACACAACATAAAACAACACAAAACAAAATTTGCCACTAGAAAAAGTTCAGTTTATCTCTACTTCCAAGACCTTAGGCACCACATCGCCTCACGAGAGACCACATTACCCGTGATATCGAAACCTGTTGTTATCTTAGAAATCAATTTTTTACCATGATATGTATCTACGATTATCGACAAGGACTCATCATAGCTACGATTATTGACAAGTTATCTCACGTTATCTCTACGGAATCTGAGAATGAAAATCCAATTTTATCTCGATCTATCAGACAGACAGAATAAAGATAACCCATCCCCTCACCTCCTTCCCTCCGATGATCCGGAAAGATGGTGATGATAGACTGTGAAGAAGATGAAATGGAGGCTGATCAATTCATACGTTCATTATCTTTCATGTGTGGGATAGACTTTAAGAAACGCGAGAGACAGACCATGACCAGACCAGGAGTGAAGATAAGGGAAGTGAGTCAGCGTTGGTTGTGCCCCCGTGTGTTTGGTGTCTCGTATGTGTTTGACAAGGTTCCTATTTGCTCGTATTTATTTGAGAATGTCTGTATTCGTCCGTATCTGTTTGAGAATGTCCGTATTCGTCCGTACCTGTTCAAAAATGTTCGTATTTCACGTCTGTTTCACACCCATATTTATAATTTGCATATGAAAATACTCAAATACATAGAAAAGTCAGATCGTTTTCTCTTGTTTTTGTATCACTCACATTCATTATTAATTTACTACAAAAAAAGAAAACCACGAATACCACAAAATAATAATTTGAGGCTTATCCCCCACCCTTTCTCTCCCCGGTTCTTTCTCTCTTTATTTCTCTTTCTTTCCCTACCTTTACAGCTTTCTCTCTCTTTCCTTTTCTCTCTCTCTCTAATTCTTTCTCTGTCTCCTTTCAGCAGCTTTCTCATTTTCTCTCTCTCTTTCTATCTTTCGACAGCTCTCTCTCTCTCTCGTTATTATACCCATAATAACATCTCCTCGCCTCCCACAGAAGCACCTGTGTGGCGGAAGACTCAGGTATGAGGGGAGTCGAGCGGGCAGAATGTTTAGGAGATAATCTGATCACACATCGACGTTCTTGAGAGCCAGTGACCAACGTGGGAAGGTCAAGATGCTGAGTGGGTGGAGTGGGTGAGGTTGGGTTAGTATTGTATTTTTTTGTAGTGGGTAGGTAGGTGGGTGGAGTGGCTGAGTGGATGGGTGTAATGGTTGGATGGGTTGAGTGAGTGAGTTAGTGGGGTGGAGTAAGTGGGTGAGTGGGTGGCTTAGTGGGTGGAGTAATTAGAGAAGTTGAGTGAGTGAGTTGTTGAGTGGAATGAGTGAGTGGGTGAATAGGTGGGTGCTGTTGCTGCTGTTTCTGTTGATGCTGCTTCTTCTGTTGCTGCTGCTTCTGTTGATGCTTCTTCTGTTATTGCTGTTGCTGCTTCTGTTGATGCTTCTGTTGTCTGTCTTGCTGTTGCTGCTGCTTCTGCTGTTGCTGCTTCTTCTGTTGTTGCTTCTTCTATTGCTGCTGCTTCTCTTGTTGCTGCTTCTTCTGTTGCTGCTGCTTCTGTTGATGCTTCTGTTGTAGGTCCTGCTGTTGTTGCTGCTTCTGTTGTTGCTGCTTATGTGTGTTACTGATGCTTCTGTTGCTGCTTCTGTTGCTGCTTCTTCTGTTTTGCTTTTGTTGTTTGTTGCTTCTTCTTTGCTTCTTCTGTTGCTGCTGCTTCTGCTGTTGCTGCTTCTTCTGTTGTTGCTTCTTCTATTGCTGCTGCTTCTCTTGTTGCTGCTTCTTCTGTTGCTGCTGCTTCTGTTGATGCTTCTGTTGTAGGTCCTGCTGTTGTTGCTGCTTCTGTTGTTGCTGCTTATGTGTGTTACTGATGCTTCTGTTGCTGCTTCTTCTGGTGCTTCTGCTTCTGTTTTTCAGCTTCTTCTGTTGCTGCTACTTCTTTTGTTGCTGCTTCTTCTGTTTCTGCTTCTTTTGTTACTGCTGCTTCTGTTGTTGCTGCTTCTTCTGTTTCTGCTTCTTCTGTTACTGCTTCTTCTGTTGTTGCTGCTTCTTCTGTTTTTGCTTCTTCTGTCACTGCTTCTTCTGTTACTGCTGCTCCATTTGAAGCTCCTCCTTTTGCTGTTCCTGCGTCTCCTGCTTTTCTTGCTGATACGTATTCTTTTGTTACTGCTTCTATTGTTGCATCTGTTGTTGCTGCGTCCCCCCTTCGCTGCTTGTTCTGTTGCTGTTCCTTCTTCTGTTGCTGTTCTAGTGCCATTTTTGTTCATATGCAACATACAGGTTTTATTACTGTTACCGTTACTACTATCTTGTGACTGCTCCTGTCGATGCTTTCACCGTTACTGCTGTTGTAGATGTTTTCACCGTTACTGCTGTTGTAGATGTTTTCACCGTTACTGCTGCTGTCGATGCTTTCACCGTTACTGCTGCTGTCGATGCTTTCACCGTTACTGCTGTTGTAGATGCTTTCACCGTTACTGCTGCTGTCGATGCTTTCACCGTTACTGCTGCTGTTACCGCTGGATAACATGCTTCACCGTTACTGCTGCTGTCGATGCTTCGCACCGTTACTGCTGCTGTCGATGCTTTCAACCGTTACTGCTGTTGTAGATGCTTTCACCGTTACTGCTGCTGTCGATGCTTTCACCGTTACTGCTGCTGTCGATGCTTTCACCGTTACTGCTACTGTCGATGCTTTCACCGTTACTGCTGTTGTAGATGCTTTCACCGTTACTGCTGCTGTCGATGCTTTCACCGTTATTGCTGCTGTTGATGCTTTCACCGTTACTGCTGCTGTCGATGCTTTCACCGTTATTGCTGCTGTTGATGCTTTCACCGTTACTGCTGCTGTCGATGCTTTCACCGTTATTGCTGCTGTTGATGCTTTCACCGTTACTGCTGCTGTCGATGCTTTCACCGTTACTGCTGTCGATGCTTTCACCGTTACTGCTACTGTTGAAGCTTTCACCGTTACCGCTACTGTTGATGCTTTCACCGTTACTGCTGCTGTCGATGCTTGCACCGTTACTGCTGCTGTTGATGCTTTCACCGTTACTGCTGTTGTAGATGCTTCACCGTTACTGCTGCTGTCGATGCTTTCACCGTTACTGCTGCTGTCGATGCTTTCACCGTTACTGCTGTTGTAGATGCTTTCACCGTTACTGCTGCTGTCGATGCTTTCACCGTTACTGCTGCTGTTGATGCTTTCACCGTTACTGCTGCTGTCGATGCTTTCACCGTTACTGCTGCTGTCGATGCTTTCACCGTTACTGCTGCTGTCGATGCTTTCACCGTTACTGCTGCTGTTGATGCTTTCACCGTTACTGCTGCTGTCGATGCTTTCACCGTTACTGCTGCTGTTCCCGTCTACTGTACCGCCTGCCATTGATGCTCAACGAGGCATGACATCCCCTGCCACCCCACCCCTGCTTCTTCTGCCACCTGCCCCTGCCACCACGCACCTCTGCCAACACCTGCCACCACCCACCGCTGCCAACACCCTGTCTGCCACGCATTACCAGCCTTGCATCCCATCCCTGCCTACACCTAGTCGTGCCAACACCTATCCCTGCCAACACCCACTCAACACCCACCCCTGCCAACACCAGCCCTGACAGTCCACACGTACTCTTTATCTGCCTCATAGGTCGTCAGCTGCTCAATGATCCACGTCGTGAGGCACTAATTACTACTGCCAATTAGAGGCTGTAATGATGTGTTTCAACTGTCTGGTCTTAGTTAAGGCCAGTGTGGTGGAGGTGGTGGTGGTGGTGGTGGTGAGTAGGACTGTGTAGTTGTGATGATGGTTGGGTGTGAGAATGTGGGATGAAGGTGGTAGGAAAAGTTGTAGAAATGGATGATGAAGGTGGAGTGTGGGGATGTGTGTGGGTGGGGGGAGGTTATGTGGTGGTTGATCTGGAAATCATTATAAATATTATTTTTTTTGTTTTGATACAGATAGCGGCTAGTTTATTGTGCACCTGGTACTTATCATATGAGCAGTGGTGGTAGAATGTGGTAATGTGTGGTAGTGATGGTGGAGGTGGTGGTGGTGGTGATGTTGTTAACGGTGGTGATGGTGGTGATGATGAAGTGTGGGTGGTAGTGGTGGTGGTGACATCAACGTGCTGTTCCTCCTCCGCACCTGACTTATATCTCACACCTCTATTCATCTATCTATCTATCTATCTATCTATCTATCTGTCTGTCTGTCTGTCTGACTGTCTGTTCGTCTGTCTGTCTGTCTGTCTGTCTGTCTGTCTATCTATCTGTCTGACTGTCTGTCTGTCTGTCTGTCTGTCTGTCTGTCTGTCTGTCTGTCTGTCTATCTATCTATCTGTCTGTCTGTCTGTCTGTCTGTCTGTCTGTCTGTCTGTCTATCAATCTACCTATAATAATAATAATAATAATAATAATAATAATAATAATAATAATAATAATAATAATAATAATAATAATAATAATAATAATAATAATAATAACAATAATAATAATAAACGGTTTATTGATAGAGCGTAAGCCGGTGGCTGAAAATATACAACTTACATTTGATTTAGACATGATGATATACGTTCAATACATTTACAGGGCTGTACAGTACATAAATCAGGAGTTGTTTTCATCTATCTATCTATCTATCTATCTATCTATCTGTCTATCTATCTAAATATCTATCTATCTATCTATCTATCTATCTATATATCTATCTATCTGTCTATCTATCTATCTATCTATCTATCTATCTTTCTATCTAAGAGGAGACCTGTCAGCTGATTGGTTCTTCTGTCTCTCATCTGTATGTCTCGCTGTTTATTTCTCCGTTTCATCCCTTATCTGCCTTTATTATCTCCTCTATCTCTCTCTCACTGTTTTTACCTAACCTTCTTACTTTATTACTCTTTCTAAATATAATGAATATTTTCTAGCATTATTGTTATAACTACGAGGGTATTAGTGTACTTATATGGTACAAGTGATGTGATTCTGTCTCAGATGTCCAAGTCTTATGCAGAATGGTTCGGTCATGAGGTTAACTTTAATTTCTTAGGTCATAACATCACTTATAATTAATTTGTGATGGTACAGATCAATTCGATTTCTTAAAAAATAGAATCGAAAATATAATGAAAATTATCACTAGGTTATTATCTAATATCTAATATACTATAGACACAGGCGTGTGTCTGTCTGTCTGTCTGTCTGTTTGTGTGTGTGTGTCTGTTCTGGGCAGCCGAAACTGCACAATCGTTTTTCATCAAACTTGGTGGAAAAATCGCAAAAAAATCGTAGAGTGGAACAAACCTGGTCGCATGTCGATGGTTTCTTTAGGAAGGCATTAATTAACAATTTTATTTACGATGGAAAACCATGCAAGTCTACGGACTTGGCTCACCCCTAACTATGCAAGACTACGGACTTGGCGCACCACCGCTGTATCGCTGCAGCCGGACAGCGAACCTGGCATCAACGAAGGGTCCATCATACAATACAATACAATGTAATACAATACAATACAAAAAACAAAAACAGTACAGTACAGTACAATACAGTACATTACCATACAATACCATACAATACCATACCATACAATACACAACGAACCATAAATATTTGTAAGAATAAAACATAATTATATAGACATGTAAGACTCACAACTTGATAAGATATCCGTAAGACATTAGCTATTGGAAATGTGATTAAATGTTTTGTTATTAATCCAGTGTGAAAATGTATTGGTGGTAAATTCCTAATGGTCTCTAATCCTGTTGATTAAGTGAGATTAATCTGGGTTTATTGAGATTAAAGATTAGGTGTGGGGTTTATTCTACCTGTGATATTCTCAGGTACGACCCTTAATGTAACAATCACGACCATGATTATAACAACCAGGACCATGATTATAACAACCATGACTATGATTATAACAACCACGACCATGATTATAATAACCAGGACCATGATTATAACAACCACGACCATGATTATAACAACCACGACCATGATTATAACAACCACGACTATGATTATAACAACCACGACCATGATTATAACAACCTCGGTAAACTGTACGACCGGAATCGCCACCGGTCACGAAGGGTTCCACGATCACTTGTCGTCCTTAAAACACAGGATATAATATATTCACAAGTAAATTTCCCTTCATAATAAGTATTCATTATTTTATTACAACAAATATTGTATAAAATAGGTCAATGACAACAGAGAGATCATCACCACATGGCAAACTGTGCAGGATCTTGGTTTCTCTTGGGCACGTCGGACGAGAGGACGGACGGACGGACAGGTTGACGGATAGAGCGGCACAAGAACGCTCCGTCCCACACCCGGACGATTTTTTTTCACCTCGTCGACAAGGTCAGGCAATATTTCATTTTAGGAAATCACTGCTCCTGCCCCTTCACGAGTTCGGTTCCCACACTTCCCCTTCTCTCGGCCATCGTCCGCCTCCATACACCATCGCTCAACCCAACGACAAACACAGGAGGTCGAGTCTAAGCATTGTGGAACGGCGGGCGGGTCACACGGGAGGCCATTGTCCACTAAAAGACAATGGACCAATTACAGAAACTTGTAGCGTGTTTGTCAGGAGTTGTGCCGCATAAACTCACAAAGGTTTTTATGGCACGGTTTTTTGTGTGAGTTGTGTGGTCTTATCAAAACCGGTTGAGAACTCGCGTCACTGCCTCTTGGTCGTTTTTTTTTTCCTTACTTTGTTCTTATCTAAAGCCTATCTAGGTGCTGTTCCAGATAATTTTTCACATAATTTTCTGGGGTACTTGACCAGATACACGTTAAGGAACTTGGGTGATCAGGCTATTTTCTTTTGTTTTTATCCCAAGAGTGATGGTCAGTGTCCACCTGTTGTATAATGGACAGGCTGAACTAAAGTTGTCCTTGTTCTATGAATAAAATTAAGCTGACTATTCGTAGTTAAGACATTCGAATTGAGAAGTGGGATAAATAAATAGCTAGATAGCTAGACAGATAGATTGATAGATAGACAGACAGACAGAGAGACGGACAGACGGACAGACAGAGAAAGAGATACCAATATTACTTGTCAGAAGCTACAACATTTACCCAGCCTTGTGGTGTGTGTTATAATGGGTGTATTAACATATAGCAGGAAGTGCATGAGGTGAGCGGCAGAGGCAGCTATTTCCTGGACTCTCAACACCTAGGGAGAATGTCTCATGTGATCAAACTTTCTTACTCTCCCACCAAACTGTACCTACT